CAGTTGACTTTGACCTTTGAATTTCCCCAGTCCAGCGCTGGGTCTCACTGGCCAGACGCTGGGCTGAGCCGGGCAGTGCGTGGTCACACAGCCCGGCCTCAGCTGAGTGCGGGTTATTGCATTCCTGCCGACCCAATTTCGAGTTCCATCGCATAAATAACTAACCTTTCAACCCACGCTCATATGCAGAGACAATGTCAGGAGCAGTTTCAAGGAGTTGTTGTTTACTGAAMCACCGATCCTCGGATGGTTTTTGAGTCTTAAATCTTACCTTGAACTGCCTCTGCGGTCGTCCACGCCTTCCGGTGGAGAAGAACCCATGRTCTACAATCCGATCTACTTCATAACCTCCGTTCATCGAAGGTGGAATCATAGAAGGCGTGTTAGGAAACTCATCCCCCTCCACATACGGTAGCAACTTAGAGGCGTGGAATACACGGTAGGTTTTGAGATGCGGGGGAATATCAATTCTGTAGGACGGTCCCTCTGCATCTCCAATTATTTTGAGAACTTCCCAGGGCCCAAAGTAGACAGGCAACAATTTCTGTGAAACATCTTCTTCCAAGGAGAATTCATTAGACTTTACCCAAACCATGTCACCCACTTGAAAGTTAGCAGGTCTTCGATGTTTGTTGGCCTGGTTAATCATCTGTTCTTGTGCTTTCTTTAGGTTCTCCTTAACTTTCTGGATGTCTTCCTGGAACAGAACTGCATATTCACGAGTCCTTGGCGGTAGCCGTAAAAATTGATCCCTGGTCAATACATCAATGGGACGTCGTGGCTTCCACCCTTTATGTAGTGCATTAGGAGTGCGTGCGGTGGCAGTGTGGACGGTGCTGTTGTATGCACTAGCTATTTTTGGTAAGTTCTCGTCCCAATCAATCTAATCGGGCCTGACATACATGCGCAAGAGCTGTTGGCACAAGCGGTTCATTTGCTCGCTTTGCCCATTCGTTTCAGGATGGTGTCCTGGCGACATGTTCAAACGAGTGCCGTATGCCTCCATCAGCTTTTGCCATGGCATACTTGTGAATCTCACATCTCTGTCAGATACAATAGACAATGGGAATCCATACTCAGTTACCCATCGCATATGAAACTTCTGGATCACAAGCTCAGTTTTCGCTTCAACAGGCAAAGGAATAAACATTGCATACTTAGAGAAACGATCGACTACAACCATCACTTGAGTGTTGCCATTTCGACTCTTGACGAGACTCATGCAGATGGACTCACCTGGTTCGCTAGGAATCGGTAAGGGCCTTAGTAGACCCAGAGGGTTCTCATGTGGTGGTTTGTTTCTCTGACATACCAGACAAGTACGCATATAGGTTAGTACATCTTCCTTTAGTCCTTTCCAATCGAAGCGTTCTCTTACTTCTGCATAAGTTTTCTTGAAACCAAAATATCCTGCAAAGTCATGACATTCCCCAATCAGCAGACTTTTAATCTCTTCTTTGTGAGGAATACACAATCGTTGTTCAGTTTCGTCTGTCAAGAAAAGCAATTCATTTGTCATCTTATACTTGGGTAATAGGGCAGGATCCTTAGTGACAAGGTCAATGATGGGTTTCCAGATAGGATCATTAGCATAGCCTTGTCGAATCTGTTCCTGCACATCATTTCCTATATCCAAGTAAGAGACAATGGTTCCAAAGAAATCACTTCTCCTAGACAATGCATCTGCCACAATGTTAGACTTACCTTTGATTGTCTTCAACTCAAAGTCAAAGGTGTCGAGGAAAGCAGACCATCGTACTAGTTTGTCAGAGAGTCTTGGTTGAGTCTGTATCCACTTCAGTGTCGAGTGATCTGAGTAGACAGTGAAGTGCCTCCTTAACAAGTAGTGTTTCCAGGATTTCAGTGCACAGAGAAGCGCATATAATTCCCTTTCGTAAGTGGAGTCGACGACCTTCTGAGTTGGAAGTCTGGCAGACATGAACTCAATAGGTCTGTAACCCTTACCATCGTCCTGTTGTAGAACTGCGCCAATTCCATACTGACTTGCGTTAGTGGTCACAATAAAGGGAAGAGATGGGTCAACGATTTTCAGAACAGGGTAGTGAGTCAGAGCGTACTTTATCTTTTTGAACGAGGACTCACAGTCCTTGTCCCACAACCATATGGTTCCTTTCTTCAGGAGTCTTCTCATGGGAGCAACAACTAAGGAGAAGTTCCTAACAAACTTCCTATAGTAACTGGCTAACCCAAGGAAGGACCTCAACTCAGTGATGGACTTTGGTTGTGGCCAATCTCTAATCGCTGAAATTTTCTTCGCTTTCGGTCTGAGCCCTTCTTCATTGACTATATGCCTTAAGTAGAGCACTTCAGGTTTTGCAAACTCGGACTTCTTTGGGTTAAGTTTGAAATTACCTTCGTGTAGCTTACCCAAGACGAGACGCAAGTGTTTCTCGTGATCCTCCAACGTTTTGCTGTAGACTAGGATGTCATCGAGATACACAATTACAAACTAATCCAATCACTGTCGAAACAATTCGTTCATAGACCTTTGGAAGGTCGCAGGGGCATTCGTCAATCCGAAGGTCATGACCACAAACTCGTAGTGTCCATACCTGGTTCGAAAAACAGTCTTGTGTTGATCTTCGGGCGCCACCTCGATTTGGTGGTACCCCGACTTCAGATCAATCTTGCTGAAGTACTTGCATCCCTGCAGCTGATCCAACAAGTCGTCAATTCATGGTAGGGGTTCAACGATTTTCACAGTGACGGAGTTCAACCCTCTATAGTCAATGCATAGACGCAACTCACCTTCCTTTTTGGGCACAAATAAGACAGGCGCTCCATAAGGTGCGGAACTAGGGCGAATCCATCCTTTGTCAGTTAATTCCTGGAGTTGCTTGCGCAATTCCTCAAGTTCCCTAGGCGACATTCGATAGATAGGGCCCTTGGGAGTCTTACTTCCAGGAATGATCTCGATAGTGTGCTTGATAGCACGCTCAGTGATCCCAGTAGGCTCCTGAGATAGATCTTTATACTCATCTAAGAGTTTTTGTATCGATGGAGGATAAGGTGTCGAAGATTCACCAACTTCCTTTACCAACACCATCATTACCTCCTGATCTAATTGCTTCTTCCTGACCATTGATCGAAAAGCTGGATAGCTCATACAACAGAAAGACAGAGTAGAGTCAGATCCAGACTTATGATACAGTTTGATGGCCTCGAGTTCAGATTGCACATTTTTCAGGCGTACTTCCTTTTCCTTGAACTTGATTTCTGGGTTGGCTTCCTCGTGCCAATCCATTCCCAGAATCATATCAAAAGACAAGTTCTTTTCAATTAGGAAGGATACTTCATGCACAATCTTCTTTCTAGTTTTAATTATGAACTTACATTTCACACGATCGACATAATGAGAGACAGTGATCGTGCTGTTATCAACAAGAATAGACGTGATAGGTTGTGCTAAACACGTTACCTTTATTCCAAGATGAAGCTTGCGAATAGCTCTCTCAGAAATGTAGGATCGTGTAGATCCTGAGTTTAAAAGTGCACCCGTCTGTTCGTGTGCGATCTCTACATCTGCGAGTAATAGTTCACCCTTAGACTTCGCTTTCTTTGCCCATGAGCTCCGGAGTGCCAACAACTCATTACCAAGCTCATCAAAGGAGTCATCCTGAGAGACAGAACATAAGACAGGTTCAGGGTGATCTGGATGATGGGCCGGAGGACAACCATCCTCTGCCACGCGAGTCGAAGAAGTGAAAGGGTTAGTAGGCGCCTTACCTTTCTCATCGTCTGACTTCTTCAACTCAGTAGGAGCAGATGCTACTCCTACTAGCGGCTCGCTTTTGGGTGTCGGATGAGTGGACACCATGCAATGATGTGTCCCTCCTTTCCACACTTCAAACACTGCGCATTGTCCATCCTATCCTGCCAGGTCTTTTGGTCAATCTCCGTTTTCTCCCACGGCTTGAATGCCGTGATACCTGGGTGCGCAGGAAACGAGCGTGGTTTCCTTCCTCGATACGGACCTCGTGGTCCTCCTTTGTTGACCACGACAGTAGTGACGTCCCCCTTTCCGAACTCACTACTGCTAGGAACTCCTTGTTCTTCTAACGGTAGCTTCTCCACTGTGTCGTCGTCAAAGACGACAAGCATGTGGTCCTAACGCTTTTGGCGCCAAAGGACTCGCTTACCGTATCTCGCGCCTGCACCTGCACCACCACCAGATTTCACCACAGATGCATACGATTGCTTAACCTGAGAAGTCATTTTCTCTCTCTGGAGAGCCAAATTGCGAAACTGCCGGTACTTATACTTACCTGACTTTGACTCGGCCACTAACTGACTTCGTATGGGTTCAGGTAAGGCCCGGGCATAAACATACAGGACCTGGTCATCCTGCAGATTTAAGCCCGGAACTTGCAACAAGCGATCGACCTCGCGAGACAAAGCCTCCACAGACGTCCAATGTTTCTGTCCAATCGTAGTAAGCTGGTCGAAGGCCTTATCGGTCGTCGTCTTATCAAGAAAGCGTTTCTTGATCTTATCAAGGAACTGCTTTAGAGTCATTGTTTCGGCCCACTTACCGATGTCGTAAAAACCTGCCACGTTAGCCTCAGCTAGGACCCACTCCTTTGCTTCTCCTCCCAAGCAGGATGTGGAGAATGCAACCTGAGACTCTTCTGCAACAGGCGTCGTACTACAGTGCGTCTGTATCTCGGCGATCCAAACAAGCAAATGTTTGTCTTTCTTGTTGCTAAATGTAAAAGGCAATCTCATCTTCACCTTTTCCTTCTTCTTCGGCTTCTCAGTTTTGTCCTTGTCTTTCTTTTCATCGGATGAGTGAGGACTGGATGGAGTAGACGGTGGCGTCGGCGAAGGAGGCCCAGATGGTTCCCCCCTCTTTGTTTCGACCCTGAGATCTTTCATAGCATCACTCATTAGTTTCTTCTTAGGTTGTTCCTTCTGAACCTCTTTTTCCTTTCCTTTGACCAAGTTAGTCACATTCTTCAATCCTACGGTCAATTCTTCCAACTTTGCTTCAAAATGGTCGAGCCTTGTCTCCAAGTGAGCAAGGTACTCAACCAGTTGGTTCAGTGCAACAACCTGTTCTTCCCCTTCCACAGTTACCACATGCTGTCTGACTTCTTGTTCTCGTTTTGCTTGCTGTTCATCTTGCTTTTTTTTATTTATCATTTCTGCCTTGCGGGTTTTCTCTTTTTCAAGAGCTTCTTCCAGCTGGCGAATATTCTCTTCAATTGTCTGCTCTGTGACCAGCACCTCATTTTTGACATTTCTGCCATTCACAATGTCGTCAAACTCCCGACAGATGAACACATCGAGTGCTTTACGGCACTGGATAATGAACTCTTGTACCTTCAATAGGTCGGTGCCAGTTTGAGCTGCGTCCAGATCTGCCTGGGCTTTCCACAGATCAAACTGGGCCCGCACATGTGACTCAGCATCTGCACCGGCATCGTGCAGCTCAGTGGCCAGAAGGTTGATCCAGCCAGACAACAGTTGTCGTCTCTGCTCTACCTGGGCCCTGGTATGAGGGTCAGGGAGCTGCTCAACACTCTGGCCCTCAGCTGGGGTCTGAACATTCCCTTCCTGAGACATTTCGGTATGGGGGATCTACCGCACAAAATTAATTCCGCGGCCCCACAGATTGCAAACAGCAGATTACAGCAAGAGCAATGACAGCATAATAACTGAGGAGTATATTTTCAATTGTTTTTCTTTTCCTTTTCTTCGCTGTTCTTAATTTCTAACTTAGTCTGATGATGTTATTTTGCAGGTACCGACTCAATCAAAGTGACCAGATACAACACGGGTGAGTATGCCAGCACAGGACAGACAAACGACACAAGGAGAACAAGCCAACATCAACAAACAATCAACATGTCAGCATCAATAATCCCCTGCGTCAGTCCTCATTAAGCAATAGGCACCCCAGCACGACAGCTGGCACTGCAGCCGTCCAATCAACTGTGCCGCTGCTGTCAGCGGGATGATCTTTCACCCAGGCACATATGTGCCTATCACGTAACACCCCGGTAATGCCAACGCAGCGAGCCTATTACACTCGCCACGTCAGCATTCAGGAAGTAATCAATGAAGGGGTGCCACGTCAGCCAATCTGGCCCCCTGATACAGCTTCAATCATGCCACGTGAACAGGGAACAATAACACGTCGATATTCCCCTGCCACGTCAACATCAAATAACCAAACAATAAGGGGGGGGTGCCACGTCAGCCAATCTGGTCTCCAGTTAGTACTCCAACCAAGCCGCGTCAACAGGGAAATGACAACACATCAATATTCCCCCTGCCACGTCAGAAATCTTGGTGCCTGCTCACGATCTCGCCAATGCGATACTGCCATATCAGCAAGATCTTCTTCTTCAATCAAAGCTCGTCATCATCTTCGGCCCCGACGCGTGCAGCTTCTACTAGGGATGAGTGCTTCGTGTCTAGACAATCGCGTTGATAAGAATCGCGTTTCAGCATTCTCTCTCTCCCACTATTTTCCCCGCCACGTCATCAGCACGCGTCCGGGTCTTGATCGAGCACGCACGTCAATCAACTCAAGCGCGGCCCGATGGGATCTTCTTCGTCATATGCTCTTCGTCGTCGTGATGATCTTCCTCAAGGTCGTGATCACCTTCGTGATCTTGATCGTCGTCGTGATGTAAGTTCAGCGCGCACACGTGCGCGCGACACTCCTCCTTACACGTGTACGGAAGAACTGCTCTGATACCAAACTGTAATGAACCCAGGCGAGATAACACACATTGGACATGCAGATACTGTTCACAGCAACGCACGAGCATCAACGCTCGTGCAGTACAAGTCCCGTGGCTCAATGACAAAGCAACTCGAGTAATCCAATCTTGTTGATGAATAATGTCGAACAGATCTGTTTCCGTAANCGCTCGTGCAGTACAAGTCCCGTGGCTCAATGACAAAGCAACTCGAGTAATCCAATCTTGTTGATGAATAATGTCGAACAGATCTGTTTCCGTAACGGAGTATATACATACATAGACAAGAGAGAGAGAGGGGAAAGAAGAGACTTAGAAGAAGAAGAAGAAGAAGCCCACTTCTTCTTCAGGCCAAACAGATTCGCCCCCTCTCCAGCAGCGTCATTCCAGATACAGATCCGAGTTCCTCAAAGTGCCACGTGGCACATCAGCATTCTCTTCATCAACGGAGCAGCAATGTCACCTCAATAAACAGGTACGTGTCATCTCACCCCCACAGTCCCTGATCTCCTTCTGGACGACGAAAGTCTGAACAGCGAATGCACACGTGGCACAGCCACGCCACCATCACACTACGTGGCAGCGGCCACATCAGCAACGACACGTGGCGCTGCCACGTCAGCACCTTGYAGACAGGAGCAAGCCAGCCACCATGCCAGCAAGCAAGCAGCGTGTCGACGCTGAAGAACGCCAGTGCTCAGCCAGCAAGTAGCCGGCATCTCACAAGCCAGCGTCGCGTCAAAGTAGAGTCAGCTTTGACTCGCGACCGAATGAATGATGTCAAAGCCAGGABTCAACCTTAAGTAGCGTTGACTCGGGGTCAATGCCCCGGTGCAGCGGTCCTGTGCCGTCAAGATCTTGATGCTGCGACGGCCTGGATCGGTCTGCGACCGATTCTCCCTTGGTCCGATGTCTTGGCTGGTACCTGCATACAAACACATGTGTGTATCTGTTCGTGGACTTGGGTACAGTACCTGCGACCTGACAGTTGACTTTGACCTTTGAATTTCCCCAGTCCAGCGCTGGGTCTCACTGGCCAGACGCTGGGCTGAGCCGGGCAGTGCGTGGTCACACAGCCCGNCAGTTGACTTTGACCTTTGAATTTCCCCAGTCCAGCGCTGGGTCTCACTGGCCAGACGCTGGGCTGAGCCGGGCAGTGCGTGGTCACACAGCCCGACCTCTGCTGAGTGCGGGTTATTGCACCATGAAGTATGGAGATCAATTCTCAAAGATGTACCAGGCTTTACTCTCACAGAGAATACATCTTTGCATCACCACGTCACAGAGAATGATGGTAAGCCAAAAAAAAAAAAAAAAAAAAAAAAAAAAAAAACAAAAAGAATGATGATAAGCCAGTTTAAGGTGCCAATCGATATTAGCCAGAGAAAATAAAGAAAGAGAACTGTGAAGGAGCACCCAGCTCGTGTTGCTCGTCTCCTCGCTCAAGTCTGCAGATTTGTCTTGCAGAGCTTTCGATGGGCAACGCAGTGCATATCTCTGTTTTGCGATGCTCGCGCCTGGCTGATTACTCTCACTCAAGTTGTTGATTCATGGAGTTGTGGAAAGTTACCTTGCGCATGAGAAGCATTCCTCCTCCTCCTCCTCCTTCTTCGTTTTATTTTTTTTTGTTTTTCCTCTTTTTTATCAGACGGATTTCTACCTCTGACCCCTGCGGACCCATTACTCGAGACCATGTCCTTCATGCATCAAGCGCACACGGCCTTCGCAAAGTCTACCCCTCAGCACATGATCCTCTTGCGGGGCATAGGATAGCCCCTGCAGAGTAGTACAGACACATGTCTAACTCAGCTTGTAAGAGGAAGAAAATGGGTGATGTTGATTTAACTTACTTACGGTTTGAAAAATGTCCAATCAGGTTTTTTTGGACCTTAATGATCGTGTCCGTCTCTTGTAGATGTCAAGTCTTGAAAAAAAAGGAGAAAGGAACAAGAAATGTCCAGTCTCTTGAGGTGGTACACGTCTTGGATTCGAAACAGCAATCCTTGCGTGCGTTTATTTTTCGGTGAATGGAGAGAGACAGAGCGAAGCCCTTGGATGCTTTTGCTGACTGATTCGTAATAGGCCCAAAATCTTTCTGAATGGAGGGTTGCCGCCAGCCTCCAGTTGTGTTTAGTTTTTGCTGAACGGAGAGAGAGAGCGAAGCTCTTCGAACTTTTTTTTTTGCCGATTCAGAATTGGCCACGGTGGCCCCCAGCCCTAATTTCTTTTGAGCAAGCGGCCTAGCTCAGTTCGTTAGGCACCCAACTGGCATTCAGGAGGTTGTGGGTTTAATTCGCACTAGCCGCCTGGGACACCCTTGGTGCCAACCAACTGAGATAGTTTGCTTGCTGCCCCGGTCAGTATTGGTCTTTGGACATCATAGTTGTGTGTTTTGAATTGTCACCACAACAGCCCCTAAGCTGCCCAGATGAGCAGATCCAAAATCAAAGCATATTCAATCCTATTACAGAAAACGAAAGCCCTTGAGTTGAGACAATCCAACAATTAAACAGTTTCACCTCCATAGCAAGCAACAAGAAGTACAATAGAGGCATGTAAAGTTTTGGAAACCCCTTTCTTAATTGTGTCCATGTTTGTTTTCTTTGGGATACCCCTTTCATTTCTTCTTGCAGCTCCCCCTTTACCGTGCCCTCATGCACAAGGCTTGCCACATTGATTGTGGTTGAGCACGAGCTGCTGTCTCTGTGTCTGTGGGTCGTGTGTGGTGTGTGGGAGAGTCGTGGCCATGGACACTGCTGTTACTGGATGGGGGAGCAGGAAGTAGATGGGAGGCGCAACTACGGTCAAAATGCTCTGTCTCGGCATTAGCCGCTGGACCCTGACAGGTGCCCCCACCCTATTCCCTGAGAGCTGCCGATTAGGGTGCGGGGCAACATCCATCTTGCATCCCCTTCATTCAGCAGGCGGGCTAGACAAAACGTCTCTATCCTGTGAGAGGTAGCTATGCTTGGAGGGGTTCCCTGTGTAGGCTTAGGAGTAGCAGAAGGTAGGTAGGGAAAGGTGGAATGGAGAGAAGAATACAGCTTAGTTATAAAATAAAATAAATAAATAGAATTGTTTGCGTTTAGTTTTTGCTGAATGGAGAGAGACTCTGAGAGAAAGACCAGAGCCCTTGGGTCTTTTTGCTTATTTATAATCGGCCCAAGGGGTGGCCCCAACCCTAGCTTGCTTCCGTTTCCTTTTCCACCGACAAGTCAGAATAAAATATTACATCATGAAACACACTCACGCTTCCTTCCGTCTGGCCGAAGGAACCCTAACCAGCATTGATTACTCCATAACGGAGGATTGACTGTCAGCTTGCCTTACTTCCACCTTTACTCTCAGGTCCATTGCACAAACCTGTCGGATGATTAATAAAGAGCAAGAAAGGTAAGAGAAGCTATGGAAGTTACAGTCCCAGAATTTGCCCTTCAATATTATGTGACCTGTGATGGATCTTGTCCTTCTGCTGGCTGGAATCTCTGTCTTCTCCACCCTGATTCTGAGTTATGCCAGTCTTTCCATCGTATGTGAGAGGCATTTTTCTCTGCCACTTTGCCCCTTGCAAGCCACACCTTAGTAAATTTTGTGTTGATTCTTCTCTGTTGCTCTTCATCATCTGGCATGGGCTGTCTCGTCTTGTGCCATTTACAAAGGATCTCCGCCATTTACAAAGGATCTCCGCCTGAATCAAAGTCCTTGTCTCCTCCACCCAAACCTTCTCCCTTGGAGTTGAGAGTCCCTCAATGGTTCTACAGCACCTTTCCTTCCAGATGAACCAAAGCATTACCTTTCTGATCATTCCAAACCACGTTTTCTCTGTCTTGTCAAATTGAACTGGGATTTTAGTCCATAAGAGGAGTTGGATGGGGTGTTCAGGGAGGGGAGTCGAGAAGAGGGAGTCCTGGAGATCCGAGGCCCTTGCCCAATATTCGGTCGCCTCTCTAGAGTCTCTACTTTTTTTTCTTTTTTTTTTTTGGGAGCATCAGTCCGGTTCCTATTCCCCCGGCAAGTCAAAGTACACGCTCACGCGTCCTTCCGTCTGGCCGAAGGAACCCTGACCAGCATTGATTGCTCCGGTATGGGAGGATTGACTGTCAGCTTGCCCTACCCTAGTTTTCCTCTCAGAAACCCTGGTTGTTCTGTCGAATAGGTATTGAAGCACATGAAACTGGTAGAGATGTCTGTCAGTCTGAGACTAGAGCCTCAATTTGTCTCTCTCAAGGCTACGTTCCTTGTCGTTGTTGGATTGGTCCATTTCTTCCAGTGCAGTTTATTGTCTGAGACTGTCACAATCTTTCCCTGTAGCAACCAGTCTGTCATGAACATTCGTCTCCTGAATGCAAGTCTTTTGGGTCTTCCTCTCGTTGCTGCCGACACACTCCTCCATTTGCATCGGATCTCTGTTTCCACCATCCTCAGCATGAGAATCCACATTTCCTCCTTGGCCACTTCTGAACCCTCGATTGTCTTGGTGCATGTCCTTTTCCATATGCTCCACAGGGCTAGTTTCCTGAGCATGTGAGACCAGACCGCTTTTGAGGGGTGAGGTTGGGGGGAGGTTCGTGATATTATTACTTTTTTTTTTTTTTTTTTTTTTTTAGGCGATTGCTGTCGGGACTTCTAAAACCCCAAACCCTAAGGCTCTGGCTCTGTACTTACTATGAGATAATCCTGTTCTGTCTCTGTTCTTCCTCTGAGGACTAGTACCCAATCTCTCCTCATACTATGACTCCTTTTGTCCTTGGTTCCTATCTCTAGCTAATTGATGTGGTCTCTTTTATCCTTCATACGTTTTAGTGTTGCACTCCGTAGGTATAGACGTGTTATCCGGGTGGCTGGGGTTAGGGGTTATGAGATGGAGGGATTATAGACTCAGGGGTTGACTGTTAAATCTAGGGGAGATGGTATTCAATGCGGGTTAGTGGGATTTGACAGTAGTGGGGTACGTGATGGTGTTTGTAAGGGTTTTCCAGGGGGCAGGTAGATGGTAGGGTGTGAGAGGCGAATGAGATGGGTGTTTCGCGGGTCAGGTGGTTAGTTCTGCATTGGGGTTTGGGGGGTGGTGCTGCTCATGCTATGAGTCGTGGTGCTTAGTGGATGGTTATAAGTAGTGATGGTGGATGAGGGATTTCGAGTTGGCTAAAAATTTGGCCCATAGTCTGTCTGTCTATAATGCATTGCTTTTTTTTTGGGGGGGGGGTTCTTTTGCAGGTTTTCCTAAGTTAAAGCTTGTTGTGGCTTTAGATGCTATCATCGCCCCTAACTTGTGGTCTAATGGGGTTTATTGCCGACGTGGTAGTCAGGGGATCCGTAGCGGTGTTGTGCTGTCTTTGGGTGTGCAATGGTGAGATTGTTAGCCAGATTTTCATGACCAGTCTGTTTTTTTCTATTGCGCCTAGGTTGTCTCCTCCTAGCTTGTATGCCTCGAATCTTTGATGATATCTGTTTTCTTGTCTGGGTTATTATCGATTAGGGTTCTGGATTTCTTCCACAGGGCTTGTAATTCCGTTTCTATGAGATGTTTAATGGTCATGAAGGGGTTGTCAGATTTGGTGAGGTTATCCTCAAAGGTTAGTTCGAATCTCCTCTTCCAAATGGCCCATATTGTTGCCTATCTTATTTGTGAAAATAGGAATAAGTCAAAACCTTGAAAAGGGGGGGGGTGTTGTTCTATGTCTAGAAATATGGTGCCTGGGTTTATTCATACTACCTTGTGTGATAGCTTGTTCCAGGTGATTTCCATCTCATACCAGAGGGTTCGGGCTTTTTCACAAAATGGTTAAGAGTTTCTTTAGCCTCCAAATTGCAAATTTCGCACCACGAAGCCTGTTCTGTTCTGTCCTCCTTTCTTCTTCTTTGTGCTAGCCAATCATTTACTGGAACTGCTCTGAATGTTATGAGCCATAGCAAGCTTGCCAGTTTTACCGGTTTTGCGCTGAAGATTGATGACCAGGAGGGGTTGAATGTAGCTGTTGAGAGAGAAATTTCTTCTTTTTGCCATCTTTTTTGGATAATTGTATTGGATGAGACGGGTGTAGAGAATAATTTATAGCCTATTTTGGTCGTGTAGTCTGTTAGTTTGTACCTTCTTGTCCAGGTTGTAGTGTTGTTAGGGATGCTCCAAGACTATTCTGCGGGGTCAATTTCCAGATGCTGGATGTCTGTTTCCGGATTGTAAACTCTGTTAGTTTCTCCTTCTAGCACTCTGATTCTTCTAAGGTTGCTAATTTTAAAAGAACCCTCGGCCCTACTTTCCTCGTGCAGATTACTCACTGGGTTTCCTGGTTCTTTCAAGGGGTAGATGCTGCAGCAAATCCATTCTTTATTATGTTTTTCGGTATTGATAATTTTCAGGACTTCTTGGGTGCTTATCTGTTTTTTCTGTGCCACCCAGTCTCCCACGATCCATTTTTGCTCTGTTCTTAGTAGGCGCCTCCATTCCATAGGTATAGTTTCTATGATATATGCAAGGTTGGCTTGTAGGTTATGACTCCCTTTGAGAGTTAGTCTCAAGTCCTCCTTGGTTTTCCAGTTGTTGGTGGTATCATCCCACAGGGGTTGGATTTGCCAGATCCCTTTTTCCAGCCAGTGTCCCCATTTGGCATTTGTTTTGGTGAGTGACAAGCTTTCTCCTTGTTCGTTTTTGGTCCAGGGGTTGCAGAAAATGGGTTGCCTGAGTACTTCGTCTTTTCTTTTGGGGCCCAGTTTGTTTTCTGGGAAGATTCTTCTCCAAATGTGGAGGAGTTGTTCCCAGAAGGATATGGATTGTTTATTACCTGTTACTTCTGCTTGATTTGTATGTTGGTTGTGAATCTTTTTGCAATTTTGTATAGGCCATTGTTTATTGAGAAACCAAAACTGGCCCATCGTATTGGGTGGGGAGTTATATGGGGCTATTTCCCTGATGTATTTGAGTGCAAGTGGAACCCATTGGGGATTGCTCTGTAGAATAAGTCTTAGTATCCATTTGATTTGTAGGGCTTGTACTTGCCGAGCTGGGTCTAGTAGACCTAAAACTCCTTTCCTTTTTGCTAACGTTGCTATTTGCCATGCCACTTTGTGAATGAAGTTTTGTTTACCTGGATTACCAGTCCACAGGTAGGCTGCTGCCTTACGTCTTACTTGTTGCTGGAAGTCCGGTGTTGGGAACCAAATGGACGTGGCGTACCACATCATGGCGAAGATTGAGTTGTTAAGAGCCAGAACCCTGCCTAGGAGGGATGTATGTGATCTCTGCCAGCTATGCATTTTGTTGATCATTGCTGACAGTAGTGATGCTGTTGATGTGGGGTGACATCCGTTCATGTCGAGTTGTATTCCCAGAAACCGGATCGGGGTTGTGGGGTCGGTCCATTGGAAGTCTTCTAGAGTCGCCGTGGGTGGTAGGGTTGGAGAGACCCACCATCCCACGGTCTTTGGCCAATTGATTTTCATTTCGGAGGCTAGCTGGAAGGCTTGCATGGCTCTAGTTAGCGCTTGGAAAGAGGAGTTAGTGGCTCTGATTAGTACCGTTAGATCGTCTGCGAAAAGCAGGGTGGTGGGGAGGTGGAGTGTGTTGCCCCTTTCGTCCTTTATGTAGTCTTTCTATAGAGATGTCTTTTCTGAGAAAGGTTGCGATGGCTTCCATGACGAAAAGAAACCCTAGCTTGCATTTATTTTTTACGTGTGTTTATTTTTTGTTTGCGTTTACTTTTTGTTTGCGCTTATTTGTTGCTGAAAGGAGAGAGACAAAGTGAAACTCTTGGATCCTTTAGCTGATTCATAATGGGCCCAAATCTTTCTGAATGATGGCGTGGCCACAGCAAATGTGCTCCAGGACAGTTTTGTGGACTTCGGGAGAAGTTGAGGGAGGAAGTCAACTGGGTCTTGAAGCTCGCCGCGTGGCCAGAATAGAGACAGTTACGCAGACACTCTGTGGCAAGAAGGAGAAGGAGAAGGAGAAATGGTGTCCCCACGCAGGCAAGTGCCGTCTATCATGTCTGGTCGATCACAGAAGGACAGAGGAGGTGACCTGCGCAAGAAAGTGTTGTCCCGGTCGAGCAGCCCCTTGGGGAGTCCCAGGCGGGACTCTGCTGACCGAGAACTGGACGCAGTGGAAGAACGTCGCAGGAAAACCCAGGGCAGCAATCAATATGTTGACCACCGAAGTGCTACAAGTTCCGACGACCCTTCATTGCGAAGACGTCTGTCTTTGGACTCGTCAATGACACAAACGATGCCTGGAAGACCGCCTGGGGAAGGAGCACTAGAGCCTGGTGGGTCATACAGAAGCAAGTCCTTTGACAACGCAACCATGGGCCGACGAAGTGTCTTTGGCCCTGTGGAACCCACACAAAAAATGTCTCTTGCTGGAAATGGTGTGGAGGGCGACAACTTGAGTTATATTGTAGGTTCGTTGCTCGAAGACTTATCAGGTCCCCCAACCCCAGATAGGAGAGATTTTGAAGAACAGGACAATGTACAGGAGAGCTCAATGCAGCATACTGGGACCACTGCAGCAATGGAGCCAGCAGAGGCACGGTCACGGAGATCTTCAATTTCATCATTCGGAAGTCTTCCAAGGAACAGTGGGGCGCAAAGACAAAGAGCAGGTAGCATTTCTTGGGAGCCCTCCTTGGGATCAGGAGGGGGCGTGCATTCAGGCACATCAGGGAGAGAGGAAGGGGGGTTACTGAGAGATGGCACCGGTGGGGCCATGCAAATGGAAGGGAGAGAGATTTCCAGAGCGGAGATAGAGGAGCAGGAGGCTGATGCTGCTATTGACAGCTTATTTCAATTGCCACCAAGGGATGACTCAGCTGCTGGCAAAAGGCAAGATGGTGCAAATTCTGGGGGAAGAATGTCTGTCGGGGGCGAGGTTATGCAGCAATTGGTATCAGAAGTTGAGCGGGACATGCTAGAAACTCAGCAGGAGCAGTGGCAGCAGCATCGGCATGCACGACGGAGTCGACTTATGCATACTACAGTAGGTGATGGGAGGGACTCGATGCATCGTCGGAACTCGGAGCCTCCAGTGTCGGTTGTGGATCCATGGAAATTGGAGGGGGCTTTGGACCGGAGGGCGAGTGTCAGTGTGCCAAGCCGCTGTGAAATGGATATGTATTTCAGTAGTCAGTATGGTGGTGTCGTTGGTGCAAGCAGTGAGGAGATAAGGGCAGGGGACGACACGGTTCCAGTTATCAGAGATAGCGTAGGGGTTAGAGAGGGGGATGGGATTGTAGATGGGGCAGTTTTGGGAGTTGAACTCGAGAGTGATGGGGATGACAGCAGTGATGGACGCCAAAGAAGGTCTGGGGATGCCAGTAGTCAAAGAAGCTCTTCTTCTGCGGTATATGGAGCTCGTGATAATGGCGGCATTAGAATGAGCAGGTTGGGTGTCAGTAGTTCTAGGGATCCAGCAATTAGTGTTGGTCACACACAATCTGCAAGGTTGTCAGTAGCGGGGGATGCAATCATTGACGAGCTGTTGGCTGTGGTTGAGGAGGACATTCTTCACGAGCAGTTAAGGGATGGTGTCAGTAAAACAGAGTCCAGGAGGGTTTCAGAGCCTGCAAGGTTTGCAATGCAGGAAGGGGAAGGGGATGGTGTAAGGCGCAGAACAGAACTTGGAGGGAACACTGGAACAGTTGGAATTGCCTCTAAACGATTGGCAATGGCATCAGTTAGAGGATCTCAATCAAGAGAGCAGATTCTAAGCATGTTATCCTCAGTTAAGGAAAAGTTAAGGAAGCTGAGTCTATCTGTCTTAGATGAAGAGCTGTTTCTGCCAATGCCAAGGAGGGAGTTTGGGAGCAGGCTGGGCGACCGGTTCCAACCAGTGTTAGAGTTCAACGGTGTTCAAGACCCCAGGAGGTCAACCATGGGAACTGGGGCAGAGAGTAATGAGGGTAACAGACCTGTTGATGGGCATCGAGCACAGGGGAGATCTGCACCTGTCTCACTTGAAGCACGTGTGTTGTTGCCTGGTAGTGTTATGGATGATCTTGGTGGTATCGTTAACAAGCTAAGGCAAGATGTGGACACACTGGTAGCCGAGCGAGTGAAATGGGTCGAAAGTGAAGTCGTGAAAGTGAAAGAAGAGTTGGAGAAGACGATGCGGCTCGTCTCTGGGCATCGAGTGGGAGAAGAAAAGGGATCAATGGATATGGAGTTGGTGGGGAGGATGATGGGTGACCTAGAGTGGTTGAAGAGAGAGATGGACAAAGTCAATGCACACATGGAGCAATCCTTATCTTCCGTGGAGAAGAGGATGCAAGAAATGCAGCAGATTTCTGGCATTGTGACTGCCATGGAGCGTGAGCTCAGGGATATGCGAATGGAGATGGATGAAGGAAATCAGCGGATGAGGTCCCTCGAGCGGGCGGTTGAAGAAGGTAGAAAAGAGAGAGGATGGATCTTTGAGAGGATGGACAATTCTGTGAAAGCTTCAGGAGATGACGGCACAAAAGTGGACCTTTCCAAGATTTTCTCACGGTTTGACAGGCAAGATGATCGTCTGGGTGCACTGGAGGACACAGTCGCGAAACTGCTTGCTAGAGATGGTAATATGAATGAGGGACTGATGAGGAGAGGGCAACAGGGTTGGGAGATGAGGAATGCAGAAAGAGGGGGGATTACGACAGAAAGTGGCCATAGCATAGCAGGGGGGGATTTGGTAATTGTCAGAAGAGATCAGGAGGATGGTGCCAGATCTAGTGAGCAGATCTCTGGTCTTGAGTCTGGCAGAGTACTTGTGGGATCATCGCGAGGAGTGGATACATTGCAAGTTGATGAGGCTTCCGTTGATCCCATAATTGGCGATAATTGGTCGAAGGTGGGTCTGGACTCTGGAGGTATGCGCTCCTCTTTTGCGGCTCGAGATAGTGTGTTGATAGATGCAAACATCAACACTCAGGGAGGGGAAACTGAACGCGCTGTGGACGATGTCCTCCAACTGATGCTGGATGGTGCTGCTGCAAGAGCTAGTTCGATGCCAAGCTCAAAAAATGAGATTGCTGCCTTGTCCACTTCCAGTCCGCGAGAAGTGGATGTACATGGTGGTTATGAGGAGGTACTCGATGCCTGGAGGAAGATAGAACACGCCATTGAGGATGTGCGAGTTGATGTAACCCAAAAGTGGACTGGGATTAAAGGCGAGGTTCAGGGCCGATTCCAGTCGCTGGAGGCGTGGTGTGCGGACATGCAGAACCAGGTAACTTTCTGATTTATTGTTATTCATTTCATGTGAATTGTGTGCTGGATGCTGGTCCATCTCAGGCTAACTTTGCTCTGGAGGATTCAGCGGTATTCATTTATGGCAACAAGAATCGATGCTTTAGTGTGCTGAGGTTGACTCTGATATTGCAATTGGAAGCAGCAGTAATGGTAGTACTCATAGGTGCACAAAAGAAAAATGTTTACAGCGACAGCATCTCATGCGCTCAAGAGAACACACATGCTGATTGGGGAACAGGTGGACGACAGAAGGATCCAAGAATGTTCGAAACCCACACAGAAGGCAGACACCAAGAATGTAACCATGCTTCATAACTAAATAGGAGAGGACGTTGAGTCCTTCATGACATCCGTTAAATTTGGAATGATACAGATAGGATTAGCATAGCCCGCCTGCGCAAGGATGACATGCATAAATTGAGAAGTTGAGAACTGAACCACTGGTCCAAAAAAAGAAAAAAGGATGGGAAGTCGAGTTGCGAAACTTGATGGCTTGAGTAAGTATAGTGCAAGGAAAATGTGCAATAGCAAAATGACAGAGTCCAGATTGCACAATGACATTGAAAGCCAGAAAGTTCCACACCGTCCAGAAAGCAGAATTGCTGCTGTTCAATTGCACCAATATTACACCAATGGAGAAGCGAAACACTGAATCCGAGTGTCAATGAGAGCTTACTCTTGCCATCACCCACATACGTATCCAGAGCCCTTCCCCCTACTTGGCGCTCAGCGCCCGGACTACTATTCTACAGCTACTTCCAGCCTACGAATTGACAATGCAACTGTTGACGACAGCAGCCACCAAAGTACATGAAGATGTCGCCTCTTGCAGACTATCGCCAAGACCACGTATGTGCCCTCACGTCATCATCCTCATCTCTCTCTCTCTCTCTCTCTCTCTCTCTCTCTCTCTCTCTCTCTCTCTCTCTCTCTCTCTCTCTCTCNTCTCTCTCTCTCTCTCTCTCTCTCTCTCTCTCTCTCTCTCTCTCTCTCTCTCTCTCTCTCTCTCTCTCTCTCTCTCTCTCTCCTTCTCCCTTGTCTTTCACCCACGTCTTCTCCCTTATGCACGAAGACCACCACTACCCCTTGCCATGCACCCAAGCCCAGCCAGCTATGGAAGCTGAGCTATGGCACCCTCACTTCTACGCGACCGGACGTGCGCGACACCTTGCTCTGCACTTGCAGCAGCTTGCAAGCGCTCGTTCCAGCAGCGCTGCCGCAAACTAGCAAGTGCCCGAATGCCCCACCAGGCAGCGAGCTCTTTCCTATATGGAAAGAGTCTGGCCTGGGTGCTACCTGGCCGGGCTGGGCCTATGCCCAGAAGCTTCCTGTAGGCCGCGGGTGGCTGAGCCTCTGCTGCTACTGCCCTGGGCCCCGTTTGGTTATGCCTTCCACTGCTCGTCGTGTATACTGCTGCAGATGCGGCCCAGGGCCTGCTTCGAAGAAAGGCCTAGAAGGCCGAACAAAGTGTGGCTGGCCGTGGCCTGAGTTCCTTCAACCAACTGCCCGCCTTCACTTAGGGCAGGCACACTTTTGCAATTGGGGCCCCTAAGGCCTGCCGAGGAGCCTGATCCTCGCATCCCTCCTCCTTTACTTCGATAGTCCCCTGAGAAGTCCTTTTTCTTTGAGTCTTCGTTCATATCCTGCAATCACTTGGGGAGCTGTCTGCTGCAGTTCCTCTCTGGTAAACCACCGATCTTCGCTGGGATCAGTATGATGTCTGAATCTGACACGGTACTGCATCCTTGGCTTTGCAGGTCGGCCTTTGTCGGGAGGCTTAGGTACAGGCATCACTCTGTGCTCCACAATGTCATCAATGTCGACTTCGCCGTCCATGGTTGGGGGCAGCATTGATCATTTGGAAGGGAACTGTGCAGTTTCTATGAAAGGTGTTAGCTTTGAGGCGTGAAAGAATGGGTGTGTGCGCAGGTGAGCAGGAATGCGAATCACATAAGAGGGTCCATCTATCTGATCCCCAACTATATCTAGGACCTCCCAGGGACCGAAATACTGAGGCATTAGCTTTCATGATATCCCCAACTCCTGACCCAGTTCATATGATTTAACCCACACTCGTTCACCTACCTAAAACTCAAATGGCCATCTGTGTCTGTTCTCAGATGCAACCATGGCATCTTGTGCTTTCTTAATGTGTTCTACAGCCTGTTGTAGCATCTGTTCGTACTTGACAGTATGCTGTCGGGTGTTGCAGATGGCTGATTTTCCGGTAGCAGGAAATTAAGTGCGGATCTGGGCTTTCAACCAAGATGCAGTTGGTTGGGAGTCGTACCAGTACTGTCGTGCACAACGTTGTTGTACAGGCTGGCGACGAGAAGTAATTTCTCATCGCAGTCATCCTGACTTGGCTTGATGTAATGCCGAAGCAGGTGCTGCACTACTTGGTCCATCTTTTCTGCCTGGCCATTTGACTCAGGGTGATTCCCTGATGTCATTTGCAGTCGGGTGCCCATCTGTTGGGCAGTACTCTGCCACAGTTCGCTGGTGAAGCGGACGTCCCTGTCGCTAACAATGGACTTAGGCAACCCAAAGTCCCGTACCCTATTATCCATAAACAGCTTGATGACATAGTCAGTTTTTGGTGTTTTTGGCATGACGATCAGTCTAGCATACTTGGTAAATCGGTCCACTATGACGAAGATGTGTCTCTTACCGCTCCTGCTGGTCACAAGGGTATCCATGAAGTCCATGGACACACTTTGATCGGGACCTTCAGGGATAGGCAAGGGATTGATGGGCCCAAGCAGAGCCCGAGTCCTAGGTTTGTCCCGTTGACAAACCTAGCAAGTCTCAACATATTTCTTCGCATCTTGCATCATAGAGGGCCACCAGAATTTCCGCACTAAGTTAGCTGAGGTCTTTTTATATCCAAAATGACCAGTTGCATCAAAACATTCTCCTAGAAACAAACTACACAAAGACTCCCTATCTGGAACACACAGTCTTTTCTTCCCAGCCTTCTCAAGGAATAGCAAGCCATTAACTACCGTAAATTCGCCAAAAGTGCCTTTGTCTTTAGCTTCTAACTTATGGATGATCTCTAAGATAACTGCATCTTCGTGATAGGCTTCCACCATTGATCGAGTTACATCATCAGATATTTCAAACTCAGTTACCAGCGCGCCCAGATAGTCTGCCCTTCGCGATAGTGCATCAGCCACCTTATTGTACTCTCCCTTTAGAGGGTCGAGCTTGAAGTCATACATGTCTATGACATCAATCCACCTCTTCAAGGCATCAGAGAGCACACGCTGTGTAGGGCATAGAGTTCTCGCTCATATGTGGACTTAGCTAACTTCTGAGATGGCATCGTTTTGCTAATGTACTCAATTGGCCTCAACTTTCCCCCGTCCATATTGGCCGGTGTTTGTGATCACAACAAAGGGCTGCTCAGGATCCGAAAGTTTGAGGACTTCATAGTGTGTCAAGGCATACTTCAGTTTCTTGAAGGCTGCCTCACACTCTTCGGTCCGCTCCCAAGGGGTGTCAAGGCGGGTTAGGTCTGTTAATGGGGAAGCTATAATACTATAGTTTTTCACAAACGAACGATAGTAGCCCGTCATCCCCAAAAACGACCGGACCTCGGTAACAGTCTGAGGTCTGGGCCAGTCACGTATGCTGGCCACTTTGGCATCATCTGGCCTCAATTCGTTCGCGGAGATCACATGACCCAGATATAAGATCTTGGTGCGACCAAATTCACATTTCTCCAAGTTTACCTTATAGTGGTGCTGTCTTAGGAGACCTAGCACTATTTTCAAGTGCTCAGTGTGCTCCTGTGCAGTCCTACTAAAGATCAGGACATCGTCAAGGTACACAACGATAAACTTACCTAAGTAGTCATGGAATATCTGATTCATTGCGTGTTGGAATGTACTAGGAGCATTGCATAGTCCAAAGGTCATCACCACAAACTCGTACAGACCGTACTTGGTCTGAAAAGCGTTTTTTTTGTCGATCCTCAAGTCTAATTGCAATCTAATGGTATTCGGAGTTCAGATCTTCTTTGTGAAGTATCGACATCCCTGCACTCTATCGAGGAGGTCATCGATGCAGGGTAGAGGCTCTGCGTTCTTAACTGTGATGGCATTGAGGCCTCTATAGTCAATGCACATCCTTAGGGTCCCCTATTTCTTTGGGACAAAGAGAACTGGTGCTCCATAGGGGGACATTCTTGGCCGGATCCAGCCCTTCTCTGTGAGCTCCTTGAGCTAGCGGCGGAGCTCATCTAACTCCGCAGGTCCGTCCTCTAGGTGCTTCGCTACCGGGGACGATTTCTATTGCATGGACCACCTCCCTTTCTACCGCACCCCTAGGCTCCTCAAAAAGGTCTAGATAGCTTGCAACGACAACTTCTATCTTTGGGGGTGTTTTTACGGCCTCCCCTTTCTCAGAGACAAAGACTAGATACATCCCCTCCTCTGGTTTTTGCTTATAATAGTAATAAAAGGATGAAGCACACATGCAGCCATAGTTCTCCACTAGCCTGTTAGCTTTATACTTCTGCAGTCTAACGGTTCTTCCGTTTGGCAACTTGTGAATCATCACCTTCCTATCCCAATCGAATTGTGGCTTTGCGACCTCGAGGTAGTACATACCTAGTAGCATATCAAATGGCAGCTCATCGCTCACTAGGAACGAGATCTTGTGTTTCAGTTCCCCTCCTCCATAGGAGAAGGTGCAGACTACGTCCTTGACATAGTCTTGGACAACTATGTTGTGCTTGTTGGTTGAAGTGGATGGACAAATCTATTCAGCCGCTGCACTTGGTCCTTTAAGCGCAGCCTATCCACACAAGCACAACTGATGAAGTTATGTGTAGAGCCTATGTCTGCGAAGGCGCCCACTTTGTGGCCACCTACATCAACCTCTACCACGAAATGTTCACCTTTAGGACCTCTACTAATCATCGCCCAAGAGTCTCTTGGGTCCTTCCCTGACCACTCAGCTTCTAACTCT